CCCCCGACCCCAACGCCCACCCGCTGTTGGCCACCGGAGCCGCGACACCCACCCCTGCGCTGCTGGCCACCGGAGCCGCCCTCGACCCCAGTCACGAGATCCGCCGGCGGCGGCCTAGACCCTGCGCCACCTCTTTCGGTCGGCGTTCGTCTACGAGCTCCCGCCTCCAGCCGTCGTCGGATCCCGCCTCTGTACACTGGATCACAGTGCTTCGTTCCTCCATGAGCTTAGATCCATTGAGGTAGGGTCTTCCCCACGCGCCCCCGATGTCGGTCGCGTCGTTCCTCAACGCCCACTCGGCTCTCGCTCGCCGCCCTGTCTCCCCTTCCTTCCTCTGCCCCACCGCTAATCATCGATAGTCTTGGTCCATCGCGATCTCGAGCAACTACACCGATTTTGTGCTCCATGTGCAGGTCCACCTTCTGCCCATATGTGTGGCTGCATCAAGCTACAACGAACACCGTTCCTCGGCCCTTTCCTGAACTGCAACCTCATCAGTATGTGGACCATCGAGGAATTTTTCCTGGGCGGCATTCTATGCTTTTCTTCATTTTCCTTGATTTTTGTGTCTCCACACTCTGCAGAATGTTTCTATTCTCTGCTTCAATTGAAGTAAAATATTTCTGTTTCAGACAAAATGCACGTACTAGCATACTCGAATTTCAGAGATGCCCATTTTGTTTTGGCTGAAAAGAGACACTGCCTTTTCATGATGGAGAAAATTGCTCCAGTAATCCAATTTTGTTCATGTGGTCACCGAGATGAAAATATGTCTGTGTTTCGTTTAGTATACATTGAGAAAGTTCATTTCTTTTTCAATTTGCTCCAGTAATCCTAGTATTTTCAATTTTTCATGTATGTATACATTGAGAAAGTTAAGTGTTGTTTCATTTAGTTCGCTCACACAGCCGTGCGAATCATTTGTTTTTCAGGCATAGGGAAGTAGGTGAGGCCATCCCAATCCAGCACCGCGCAGCTGTAGGGAGGTCAAGCCCATCGCGAGCTGCAGTCCACGGCGGTCACCCTGTCAATCCTCCTACATCATGCCCCACCCGCCCTTTGAAGTGCCCGCGACCCATCGCGTGTAGATGCTGTTTCACTGCCCAGTCAAATTCCACCACTATTTGCAGCTCCAATGTGCAATTCATCGTGATGCTCCTGGAGGTTCAATTTTTGTGTGTGTTGTTGCAGCTGACCTTGACACATTTTCTTCCTTTTGATGTGCCATTTTATGCATACTTATCACTGGATGCCCATAACATGTGCCGGGTACGGTGTTTGTGAAATCCCGAGAGACTCATTCATGTGTTTTTTGGTGATGGATAGAGAGATTCCTTGTTCATTTATGTACAAGTTCAGATTTTAAACAATTTAGTGGTTCGGTGTTTATCAAAAGCCACTCTTTTGTTTGTACTCCATTCTTTTGTTTGTGTGATTTGTCCTCTAAATTGTACAAGCTGCTGATGAACTTCATTTACACCCCGTTCCTGATGAATGTCACCATAAGGGCAGGGAGAAGGTCACATAAGGTGCAGAACGAATGTCAGAGTTTAGCAACAGGGTGTGTGATCTTTGTGTTTTTTGTGGGGTGCAAATCATGGGTATGCGATCTCACATCCTATGTATTATTGAGATGGCCTCCCTTAGCCTCAAACCATATTGCATACAAAATATGATAGTCGCAATGCTACCGTCATGTGTAAAGAAAATTAGATATGTACATGTACACAACCTACAATAACTTTACGGGTTAAATATTTGAGCAAGAAGTTAAAAAAAGTAGTTAAAAATATTTATAACGGATTTTTCCCATTTGTAAAAAACAGAGAAGTTCAAATCAAAAAGAGGAGCATTTCAAAAGATTGTATAAAAACTGATTTTCCCCATTCTATAAAAACTGGAAGTTCAAATTAAAATAACGGTGTTGTATCGTTGTTTATATAAAAAAGCATTTTCCCCATTACTAACCAATAGAACTAAGAAGTTCAAATTTAAAAAATGGTGAAGTTCGATGTCTATAAAAAATTCGGATTTTTCACATTATTAAAAAAATAAAATCAAGAAGTTCAAAAATTCAAAACAAAGAAGTTCAAAAAACTCGATTTTCCTCACTACTAAAGAATAAAACTAAGAAGTTCAAATTAAAATAACAAAAAAATCAAGCTTTATAAAACGTCAGATTCTCGTTCTAAAGAATAACTAATAAATTCAAATTAAAATAAGGGAATAACAAAAAAGTTATAAAAAAGATTTTCCGTGTTTTTTAAAAAATTCAGATTTTCCCCGATACTCAAGATTAAGTCAAGAAGTTCAATTTTAGAAACAAAGTAATTCAATGTACATTAAAAACTCAGTTTTCCTCGTCACTGAAGAATAAAACCAAGAAGTTCAAATTAAAAACGTTTTCATTTTTCTAAAAATACATCAAATAAATTCAAATAAAAAAGTTAGAGCAG